AAACATATTTGCAGTAGTTCATACAAATAAATTTGACATTAAGATATGTCTTTAGCAAAAATAGAGTATGTACATCCATTTTTATGGATTAGAAAGGAAGTGGTGAAAACACAAAAGGTAGCAAAATAGAAATATTAAGGATGCATAAAATTAGCATAAAATTGGTTGACAGAGGTACAGATGAGTTGCCCTGATGTACTGATTGAATATCCCTATTAAAAAGATTCATATTGGTTCAGAAACCAGTCCAAAAACAAGGATGCTGTGATTTGTATAAAACGGGATAAAAGCATTTAAAGGTAATGGAAAGTTTAAGTCATAGAATGAAACTTTTTATTAGCATCCACGCATATAACAAGATATTTTGTATTTATAAAAACAGTGTGGGAGGGGGCCAGCAGGTAGCATAGTGGTTAAATGTGCTGGATTACCACATGGCCGACCAAGGTTCGAGTTCCAGACCTGTGGGTTGCTCTCTCACTTTCCCTTTCTCTCTGTCTCTGTCTGGTCAAATTAAAAAATAATAATAACAAATGAAATTAAATAAATAAATAATTTTTTAAAAACAGTATGGGATATAACCTTAAAGACTATGTAGTAAACAGCATAGCATTCACATGTAAAGTACATGTTTAATATTCTTGATGTGGTTGACAGTCTTACTAGTATAAAAAAAGTGTATATTTTAAACATTGTGCATTTGAAATCTGTATTTCTATGTATCTAAAATTCATAGAGTAATCCTTCAGTTTAAATATATATATATATATATATCCATATGACTGTATACTAGGATGCAGAGGACTTTATTGTATTTCTAAAAAGCACAAATGACCATGTTGCAAGAAAGCCTAGAAAAGTAAATAAAGTTTAAATGCTGAAACATAAAATTTTTTAATTACTGGAAAAGAGTATTTCTGGTTTTTAAATTAAGTGTATATAATACCAGGTATAAAGCTATTATTTATTTCTTGTCTACTATTTCTATGACTTTTATTATTATGAATTTAAAATCTATCTTATGCCTTAGAATTCCAGAGCTTGTGTCCTGGCTCAAAAAGTTACAAATAAAACTGCATAATCCTCCCACCATCCACTCCCCATCCAGTGAGGGACAAATGGATTTATGTGTCACATCTGGCAGCCAGGAAGGGCTTTGTAAGGTAAGACTGAAAGGAAAAGATAGCATAGCCTCGATCAAATGTGTTCATACATATAGTTCTCTCTCACTTAACCACAAGGGGAGTATGTTCTGCAGGCTGTTGGTAGTTTTTCTTGTCTTCACCTAGAGTTATAAACAGGGAAGTCAGAGACAACACATAAGACGGGAGGAGTTGTGTTTGTGTGTCTGTGCATTTTTGACAGTATGCAAAAGCCAAGTAGAAATACTTTAGATTAACCCATTGGTATTTCTCTCTATTTTCCCTCATTGTGAACACAGACTTTCCAAAATTATGTTCTTTTTTTTTTAATTATTTGTTCTAAAAGTCATTCACTAGCCCAACTTTTCTTAAATGTAGAGCATGTTGTCAGTGACCCAGAGCTGAGTCATTAAACAAGCTTTCCACTAACAAAGTACTCGATTCCTCCCACAGGCTCAGTGGCACTCCATACTTTCATGTGGCTCAGAGATTCAGGTTGCATTTGATTTCTGCCTACAGTTAGGAATTTTCAGTGTGATTTTTAAATTCTTTAGAGGGCATGTCATCATACTTCTGAAATGAAAATGTTATTTCTTGGGGCTAGCAGGAGGTGTGGTGGCTGAGGCACTGGGCTCCCAGATGTCTGACTACAGTTCGAGTCCTGGATCTGGCGACTTGCTTTCTCACTTTTCCTCCATCTCTGGCTCCATGTCTCTCTCTGGTCATATTTAAATAATAATAATAATAATAAAAATGTTTGTAAATGTCATTCCTTTTCATATCTCTGTAATCCCTGTCCTTGCCACTACTTATGTCTTGTTACTTCTCTAAATCTGTGTTTATATCTGCTTCTCTAATTTTCTCTCTGGATTAATTCCTTTCTTCCCTTTCTCCCTTTTTTTCTCTCCCCTTCTTAAGTTATTCCATCTGCCTCCCTCCTGGGTTCTAGCAAAGCCACAGATAGAACTGTCACTGAACAGTTCCCATAAGAAAAACACCACACCTGTGGTCCTCAGTTTGACCTATTTATTTTTTATTGTCTTTTTTTCATGAATAATTAGCCTTGGATGAAGATTCTCTATTCAGTCTCACATCTATTGGGTCGTCAGGTTGGCACCTTTACTTTATAATAATCACCATTGTTTTTAATTCCACCATGATCCATTCTTGCATAGAAAAACAGAAAAATACACCATGGCTTTTCCAATGACCCAATAATTATTAAAAGTAAACAGACTACCTGTTGTCTGAGTTTTTGCTTGAACAGAAACATTTATGATTCTATGACAAAAAAATCACATTCAATGGAATTTTCTTCTTAGAAAGGTATACCATGAACTTTTTCCTCCAGAAAAATGCTCAAGACAGTTTCTTCTTTATCTGTCATAGCACTAGTCATTTCAGAGAAGGAAGATAGTATAAGTGGCCCGCTACATCAACAGCTTACTTCTTATGGACATGCTTATTGCAGGAATCTTGGTGAGGATTTGGTTGCATATCTCTTTCACTCTTTTTTCCAGGATAGATGCTATTTTAGGCTCTTGTATTTTTGTCCTGATATGTTAAACTGTATTGCCAGATAGTAAATAGACAGCCTTTTTCTTTCAGGGTATTTGGTATTTGTATATTCCCTATTGTCAGGGAAAATGTATAGAATCTGGATTTTATTTGATCTATTGAAAATGCATATACCTCCAAAATAGTATTTTTTGACTCTAGGAGGTCCCGTAAAGTGCAGGTCAATTAGAAACTTCTCAGAGGGAATATGGTCTTAGTCCGTTTTGTGCTGCTATAATAGAACATCTGAAACCGAGAAATTTATAATGAACAGATTTACTTCTTATAGTTCTGAGTGCTGGAAAGCGTAATATAGGGGAGCCTACAGTCTGACAAAGTTTTTTGCTGTGTCATCCCATGGCCAGAGAGGGGTAAGAGATAAACTCATCCCTTAATCAGGAACTCACTCTGAGATAACAGCATTAATTCATTCATGATGGCGGAACTCTCATGACTTAGTCACCTCTTAAAGGTCCCACCTCTCAACAATATTGTACTGTGGATTGTGTATCCACCACATGAACTTTGGGGAACAGTTTCAAACCATTAGCAGATACTGATTGTCCTAAGATATAAAAAGTTAGTAAGATAAAGGTAAATTAAACATCGCAGGCCAAATTAGGGAGCAAAAGTCAAATTTTCTATCTTGATTGATAATAGCCCTACTGTTTGCTGTGAGATGTAAGTTATTAAAATGATAGAAGGAAGCACTTGATCTGGGAATTGTGAAACATCATAAGGTAAAGGATTATTCTGTGACTTACATACAATTTAGTCATATAAAAGCCCCTTTGATTTAGACTGAAAAAAAAAATCTATTGTTCGGCTATAATGATGTCAGTAGGCATCAATATTTCCCACAAAATTTCCTAAGATTTATTAGACCTTGTTTTGGTTGACCTCTAAATACCCTTTAATACTGACCTCCCCTTTTTAAAACACTCTTAGCCTCTTCCAGCACCATGTTGTATGACTTACCACTAGCCCTCTAACCTGCCTGCCTTGAGGTGTCCTCTACTACCCAGCCATTATTTTTTGGAGTTCCTTAAGGCTTGGCCCTTGATCATCATCGCTCCTTTATCTATCCATACCTATTTCTTGAATTCTTATTCCCACCCATGTCATCAAACACACGCTAGTGACTTCCAGCTCCTTCCAAATGCATTCATCTATCCATCCACCTGACACCAGGATGTTTCAGAGGCACCTTAAACCAAAACAGTGACTTTTTGATTCTGTATTTCAGTGAATAGCATCACCTCCACTATCAATCTAGTTCTATAGCCAGAAATCTAGGAGTCACTCTTGATACCTCCTCTTCTTCACTCTCCTTTTAGTCTATACTCATGTTTTGTTGGTTTTCATTCCCTAAATACCTCTCAGTTCTTTCTCGACAATTCCACCACCACCAGTTCAGTTTAATCCATTGTTATCTGTTTCCAGGACTGTGGCAATAACTCTGCAAACAATTCTAAAAGCTTTCCACATATATTCTCACTCCTTTTTTATTCTTTCATATTACAGCCAGAATTACCTTGCTTCAAAATGCATATCTGATAATCCCACACCTTCTTAAGATTCTTTCTTGCCTCCCCTGGCCCAATTTTTTACATGGTGTGATTTCTTCAGACTTCTGTCTGGTCTCACTCCACTCTCAACTCTATGGTCTGCCTAAAACCACAGAATTATTTAGGTTTCTCAAAACCTATTGTCATGCCCTACACCAACACATCACTTCCTCAGGGAAGCCTTCCCTGAATTCTCTTATTCTGCAATGAGATCTTATAACATTAGGCACCTTTACTTAATAATACCATTGTTTTTAATTACACATTTATTAGGGTGATTATTTTGCTAGTGTCTGTCACTCCCAATGGACTAGTAGCTGCATGAGAGTGAAATCATGTCATTTTCCTGTCTTATCATTTTGGTTTATATAGGCCTGGCTTATAGTAGACAAAGGAAAATGAATTTTAGGAGCCAAAAATTAATTTTAGGAGAAAAAAAAAAAAACAACCCTTACCTTAAGACAGGTTGGCAATCTATGGTGTGGAAGCCAAATCCAGCTCTCCATCTACCTTTGTAAATCAAGGGGTTTTTTTGAGAGCTTTTGCTATAGGATGTGTGCTCTCGCCAGAAAGACAGAGAGAGACAGAAAGCAAGAAATCACCCTCCAGGAGGGATGGCCACACCACAATCCTTTCTCCTCCATTCTCCTCTCAGGATCTTGGGCACGCACGCACACACACCCGGCGTGAGTTTAAGCCACCGGGTCCAGGACTCGAACTATGTTCGACTACATGGGAGTCCAGCGACATAGCCATTACACTAACTGCTAGTCCCTATAAATCAAGTTTTATCAGAACTCAGTCACGACCATTCATATATATATCATCTATGTCTGCTTTTCCACTATAAAGGCAGAGATGAATAGTGGCAAGTGAGAGATTATCGCCCACAAGTTATTTACTATCTGGCCTTTTCTAAAAATTTGCCAACTCCTACTCTGGAAGCCTTTGCACTCAACCTAAGAAAAGGGATTCTGGGAATGGAAACAATACTATCCACACTAACCTATGTTTCTTTTATTAGGTGTTTGAAATGATCATTAATCCTGGAGATAATGTTCTTGTAAATGAACCTATTTATTCAGGAACACTTCAAGTCGTGAGTACACAATTTTACAAAAGTCAATTCTCCTGTAATAAATAAAGAAATGATTGTACATTTAGGATGATCTGTCCACTGAAAATAAATTAGTTTCTCTTATCTGTAAACAGAAGAATCTTGTTGACATATACAATGATACATGAAAAATATGTTTAATGTACCCTATGATTTATACATTTCTTTTTTAAAATCCAAGTGGATAGGCACTTGGAATAGATTGTGCAAAATCAGGTCCAATTTTATTATGTTACTTGAAATGTGACTTAATTTGCAAAAGCTTATTTTTTCCATTACCATCTTTTATTACTATATGCATAAGTATAACCAGGTTACATGTCAACTGAACACAATTCTACTCTAAGCTAATAATTAGGACTTTCCACTACAGTGCTGTCAATAGGACTGTAGTATCCAGAATGAGCAAGCTCATCATCTGATTTTCTCTGTGCTTAGGTTTGTTTAGGGAACTCTCCTTTCGGATAGAAATGCCCACAACTGGAGTATGTTCAGAGAAGGGTAATGAATAGGGAATTGTAAACACACCATATGATAAATGGCTATAGGAACTGCAGCTGTTTTCCTCAAAGACAGAAAACTCAACATGAGACAAGAGAATTGTCTTCAAATATATAAAAGTAATTCATGCCGTGGAAGTATTATAATTATTGTGCATGTCCATAGTTTGACAGGACTGAAACTCAAGGAAACAATTTCCACTCAGTAGAAGAACTTTCCAGCCTTACTGACCACCCAGGAAGATAAAGCATTGCCAGTCACCGCAGGTGCCCATAGTGACTCTCAGTTGCCACCTAACACAAATATTATAAAAGCAGTTCCAGCTTTGAGTAGGGAAACTGAATGAAATGATTTTAAGTTTATGGATTTTCCTTTTTTTTCAAACTGAATGTTATTTTTGTAGAAATCTTATATAAAGCATTATATAAAACAATTCCAAATGCAATGGTATCTATAACTAGAACTAAATCTAACAAAGGAGGTAGAAGACTCCTAATTAAGAACGGTAAATGCTGGTTGAAAAAACACTTTTTTTTTTAGTTTTTGCCATAGGGTGAATGTGCTACCCAGAAAGAGACAGAGAGAAAAAGTGAAAAATCAGCCCCGAGGGGGATGGCCATACCACAGTCCCTGCTACTCCATTCTCCTCCTGAGATTTGGCACATGTACACACACGCAACCAACCTGATTTTCAAGCCAAGATCAGAACTCAAACTACTGTCAACCGTGTGGGAATCCAGTACCTTAACCACCACGCCAGCTGCTGACACACACAAAAATTCTGAAAAGGCCCAATAAATAGAAAAGTGGGGAATGGAGAGTTATTGCTTAATGGGTACAGAGTTTCTATTTGAGGTGATGAAGAAGTTTTAGATATAAAAGTGATGAGTGTACACATTTTGAATTTAATTAATGCCACCAATTGTGCTCTTAAATATGGTTGAAATAAACTCAGCTGTAGTGGCCACATTGCTACTACACTGCGCTACATAGGCCGGAACTATATCAAAAGCCCATGTCCAATACCTGGTCCAATCTAAAGACTGGGCACACACTTATTTGAAAGGCTGAAGCAAAAGGACTATAACATGAAAAGATTCTGTCTTAATAAAAAAAAAAAAATGTGGAAATCAGCAGATGATATGATGGCTGCTACACTGCTGGACTCCAACATAGTCAACCACAGTTCAAATCCTGGACCCGGTAGATTGAAACTCACAGTGGGCACATGTACGTTTGTGCCTAGAGTCCCAAATGGAGAATGGAGGAGAAAGGACTGTGGCATGGCCATCCCCCAAGGGGGTGATTTCTTGCTTTCTATCTCTCCAGCAAGTACACATGCCCTGTAGCAAAAAATCTCTCTCTAAAAAAATTTTTTAATGTTAAAAATGTTATTATGTGTACATTTTGTTGCAATAAAAAAACTAAAATAAAACCATTGCTGTTTCTTAATGATTGATAAAAATTATTTTCCTAAATTCTGGTGTTTTTTGTTTTTTGTTTTTTTGGGTTTTTCTAGTTTGCTATATGGCATGTGTGCCTGTCAGAGAGACAGAGAGGAAGAGAGAGAAAGTGAAAAATCACCCCCCAGGGGGGATAGCCAAGCTACAGTTCCTTCTCCATCCTCTCTCAGATCTTGGGAACACATGCACATGTGCAGGTGTACTTAGCATGTTTCTCAATTTTCTGGGTCTGGGACTTGAACCACTCAGTTGGCCATGTGGGATCTAGCCACCTTAACTACCTCACCTGGCTGGCCCTATTTTCCTAAATTTTCTGTTTGTTTTTCCTGCCTACCTAAATTATTAAGATTTAAGATTCCATAATGGCTATAAATATAAAACTGGCATCTAAATAAATATCTTGCATGTGCATATGCACAAACATTTTCTCATACCCAAACCTAAAATGCATAAAGCCACAATGAAATATACTAATAAATAATATGTGTTTACTTTATGATTCAATATTGATTTGTTTTCTCCATAGTAGAATAAATGTGCTTTATAAGTCTAAGAACTTTACAATTCATCATAAGTAGAGACTGAGTTATTCCCATAATTATACATTTCACTGCTAAGAGTATATGCATTTCCTTTGGAAAAAAACTATATTTTAGAACCTCACTTGATTGTTGTTATTTTTTAAGTTCTAATTTTTTCTTTATATTCAACCATGAATGAGATTCCATAAGAGTTTTATAAAACTCTATAAACAATGCCAGTATATGCCAGTTCAGACCTAGCAATTGGTAAAATTTTGAAATACTTCTATTCTGCTTAGCAAGCTGCTCATCTCCTTCAGTGTCTCATTACCATCCTGGTTTCCCTGGTCCTTCTCCCAGGACCATTTCTACCTTCCCTTGACCAAAGTTAATGCTGCCACAGCAGGGGTCCCTTGGACCCTGTTCTAGCCTGCATGTGTATCTGATGTGCATATGCTATACCACTTGCTAAATATTCTGAATATCACCCCCACTTGTAACTTTTTTTTTTTTGGAGAGGTTTTTGCTATAGGGCGTGTGATCTCACCAGAAAGTCAGAGAGACACATAGAGACAGAAAGCGAGAAATCACCCCCCAGAGGGGATGGCCACGCCGCATTCCCTTCTCCTCCATTCTCCTCTTGGGATCTTGGGCACACACACACGCACCCGGCATGAGTTTAAGCCACCAGGTCCGGGACTCGAACTGTGGTCGACTACATGGGAGTCCAGTGACATAGCCATTACGCCAACTGCTGGCCCCCTACTTGTAACTACTTTATGTATCAGCACAATACATACTTGATGTAATTCATTTACTCTGTCAAAAAACACTCATTGAGGGGCCAACAGATAGTATGGTGGTTAAGGGTGCTAGACTCCCACATAGCCCAACTGTGTTTCAAGTCCCTGACTTGGTAGCTTGCTTTCTGACTTTCGCTCTCTCTCTCTCATTCTGTCCCTCTCTGGTAAAATTTAAATAATAAATAAAGTTAAATGAAATAATTCTTTTTAAAAAAAACCTCATTTATAAACACTTATTTGATTAATGAATTCTAACTATAAAATTTTAAAATGTAAAATATTTCTAATTATAAAAATGATTCAGTTAGAAAAGGCTAGCTTATATTGTATAAAAAATAACCCCTATATCTCAGTAGCTTATGACTACAAAGTTCATTTTTCTCTCACACTTATCCAGTATGGGACCACTGCAGTTCTGTCCATGAATTATTTCAAGTCCTAGATTGACAGAAGTAGCCTCTATTTGGAACACTGAAAATCTTAGAGCAAGTGGAAAAGAGACATAGAGAACCACAAGCCAGATTTTAAAGCTTCTGCTTAGAAGGAACATACATGACTTCTGCTCACAATTTATTGTCCAGAGCAAGACACATAGCCAGACCTGACATAAAAAGGACAGGAAGTACACAGAACCCTTTCTCCAGAAAGAAACAAGAGATTTTTGAATAATGATGGAATCTACCACGGGACAACAACAGGATACAAGGGGACTTCAAAAAACTCATGAAAAAATGGGGTTAAAGTCCAGGTTTATTTTGGTGTAATTTTTTTTTTTTACTTATACATAGTTTCTCATAGTGCACTTTGTTTTTTTAAAAAAGATTTTTGCCATAGAGCACGTGTGCTTGAGAGAAAGAGTGAGAGGAAAAGTGAGAAATTACCTTCCAGGGGGATGGTCATGAAGCAATCCCTTTTTCTCCATTCTCTTTCCAGGATTTTGGGCATACGCACACCCACCTGGCGTGATTTTCAAGTTGCTGGATCCAGGACTCAAACATAGTCGGCCATGTGGGAGTCTAGTGCCTTAACTACCATGTACCTGCTGGCCTCTCATAATGTACATTTTAGAGGCCCCTCCCTCATATATGATATCAACCCTCTGGAACTTAGAGCTATATGCAGGTTTAAGGGTATAAATGATAATGTTCTTGGTTGGTATTTAAGAAAATAAATGGCACTTCTATTTTATAATCATGCCTAATCTTGGGTTTCCTTTTTTCATATGGCCTCAACAGTTTCGAGCATTGGGCTGCAACATGATTAATGTTGCTAGTGATGAAAATGGGATGATTCCAGACTCCCTTGAAGAAATACTTTCCAAATGGAAACCAGAAGATTCAAAGAACCCCAAGAAAAACACCCCCAAGCTTCTTTATACTGTCCCAAATGGCAACAACCCTACTGGATACTCATTAACAAGTGATCGCAAAAACAAAATCTATAAGGTATTTTAAAAGTATATGTTATATGGTTGTTCCCTTTTGTTTTTGACTTTGATTTTTTAGATGACTACTATAGAAGTTCCCTCTCTTATTAGCCTCTTACTTTCAAGGAAAATCATTTTTTAACACAAGGAGGTTATCTGTGCCAAGAATCCTAGTAAATTCAGACACAGAACATTAGTATGTCTTTTGTTAATGATGAAATTCCTCTTTTGCCTTAACTGATGTTTTAATATATAAGAAGTAGCATTCTTGACCCAATGTTAAATTGTATGAAACTATCTAATATTTGCCTCCAGTTCTTATTTTTATTTTTAGCGTTGCTAACTTATCTCTTCCACTTCCTCCCATTTATCATTTCACGTTATAAAGAATTCTTTAAAAATAGGAGGTGCACTCCTCTTTTGTAAAATCTCTTTTAGGTACCTATGATACCCAGCTTTTTACTATAAACACTTTTTAAAGTTTCAGACATATATTGAGCTCTATAGAAATCTTTTTAAAAATTAGAGAATGGTGCCTTTTGTAAAGTACCTTTTATGTAAATGTGTGCTCCCTAACCTTTTGCTACAAAGAGCTTTTTAAAGTACTCAACCCATGTTAGACTACAGAACTTAATCATAAGAAGAATTTTAGCCACTTTCTTAAAAAGTGTTGTTGGGCCAGCGTGATGTTTAAGGCATTGAATCCCACACGGCCAACTGTGCAATTTGAGTCCCAGACCTGGCGGCTTAAAAACACATTAGGCGCCTGTGCATGCATACCCAAAATTCCAGGAAGAGATGGAGAAGAAGGAATTGTGATGCACTTGCACATGCCCTATGACAAAAATATGTATTTTTCTGTCTTAATTTTTTTACTCCTCTGAGTTCTGTGCTGAGTTCTCTATTCATATACTCCTCTCAACAGCTTCATCCAGTTCGATGGCTAGAAATTCTGTATATGAAGACTCCCACATTGCCTCACCTCTTTCTCTTACCCTAAGTTTGAGACTTCTCTGTTCATCTTCCTACTTGATATCTCCACATAGACATCTAGAAGGCATTTCAAACTTAACATGGCCAAAACAGAGCTCCTAATTTTCCCCAGCCTACCCTACACCTCTCATCAACATGCTGTCACATTCTCCATCTCTAAAGCACAACCGTGAGCAGTTAGTTACCCTTTATTCCTCTCTTTTCCTTCTCTCCTGTCCCTCTTCTAATCCTTCCTGTGGACCCCACCACCATGTTTATTCAAATCCATCACTTTATCCACTACCATTACTAACCCTGTCCTCTAAGCCTCTGCCTGCCTTTCCTGAACTGCCACAATGTCTTCATTGTACCCTGCTAGTTTTTACTCTAGGTCATTCTTCCCATAGCATCCAGTCATGTTCTTCTCCTGCTGACATGTATCGAGAAAGCCAGTCTCATGGTTCCCCTATAGACAAACGTCAGCGTGTTCTCTGTGCAGTACAAATAAAGACCAGATCCCCTTATTTGCCTTGCAAAGCTGTGACATGAGCTCATTCTCAGGCCTTATCTCAGCATTTTTCTTGATACAACCCACTGCTGCGGCCAGTGTCCTTCTCTCTATCCCTAAAACGTGCCTATTATTTTGATTTCCCTGGGGCCTTTGCCTTCACCCATCCCTAATCTAGGACATTCTTCCATTGTGTTTGTATAAGCAACTCTTTCCTGTCATTCTGAACTCTAGCATTACCTTGTTAGGAAAGGCTTCCAGGGAATTCAGCCTGAAATAATTACACTATCACTCTGAAGTGTAGCCTGTGTTACTGCTCTGTCTAGCACTTTAAAACTATCCATCTGGGGATCCATTAGGTGGTGTGGTGGTTAAGGGCACTGGACTCCCACATGGCCCACCACAGTTTGAGTCCTGGACCTGGCGGTTTGCTTTCTCTCTCTTTCTCTCTCATTCTCTCTCTGGTGAAATTAAAATAAGTAAATAAATAAAGTTAAATAAATAAATTATTTTTTAAAAATCCATCTGGGGCCAGCAGATGGCATAGTGGTTACGTTGCTGGACTCCCACATAGTTGACCACAGTTTGAGTCTCAGACCTGGTGGCTTAAAACTCACACTGGGTGTATGCGTGGCTACCCCTCAGGGGGTGATTTCTCACTCTCTGTGTGTGTGTGGGTCTGGTGAGCGTACGTGCCCTATAACAAAAATCTCTCAAAAAAGAAAAAAAAAAGAAGAACAAAAACCATCCATCTAGTATTTTCTCTGTTCATTCTCTACCCATTTATGTATATTCTGTCTTTCCCACTGGGATGTAATCCTTGAGAATAAGAAACTTTGTAGCTTGTTCACACCTTTGTCTTCACTATATAGGGCAACAGACACTCAATAGTGTATTGAATGAATGAGTACAAAGAACTTTGATTCCAAATTATTTTAAATTTAGCTAGCTCTTAACAAATAAATATATTGGGACAACAAGTGGCATGGTGGTTAAGGTGCTAGACTCCCTACCAGACCTGGTAGTTTAGAAATCATACCAGGAATGCATGTGTGCATGCCCAAAATTCCAGGAGGAGAGTGGAGGAGAAGGGATTGCAGTGTGATCATCCCCATTGGGAGATTATTTCTCACTTTCCCCCTCACTGTCTCTCTCTCTCGTGAGCACATGCACCCTGTGACAAAAACCTTAAAAATAAATAAATAAAAAATAAATATATTCTTTTAACCTTTTTTTTAGCTTGCAAGAAAATATGATTTCCTCATAGTAGAAGATGATCCTTACTATTTTCTTCAGTTCAATGAGGTAAGTGATGGTGTGAACTTATTTCACTTTTAGAAGATAAGTCATTGTAAGTGGGGTGACCTAGAGGTTAAAGCACACAGATCCCACATGGCTGATGATGCAGTTTGAGTCTCAGACCTGGTGGTTTGAGAAACATGCCAGGTGCATGTGTATGCATACCGAAGATCCCATCAGGATGTAGAACTGGAGGAAAATAGATTGTGGCATGATCACACCCCATTGGAGGGTGCTTTCTCCTTCTCCCTTTCTCTCTATCTCTTACTAGTGAGGCACACTCACCCTCAGACAAAAAAGGATAAGTTGTTATAAATTATTATACTACATTTTACGTTAGCCTGGCTGTTGAGTCTGAGCTAATCCACTTTTACATTGAAATTAAATAAGTTATTATTAATTTACTACCACTTCAATTTTTAGTCTTCCAGTTTTGTCATGGGATTAGTACTTTTCATTTCTGGTATTACTGCTTTTTCCAGAAATTGCTTACCTTCAGAGTAGTAGCTAGCTGTCTGTACCACACATTTAGGCAAACAGAGTTAATCAGAGCTGATACCTTCCTGAACTCCAGATCCTAGTTGTAGCTCTTTAAACATCATACCAGAGATATGAAGTGAGTTTTGCCTTGAGTATCAACTTCAAACTCTTGATAGTGGCTCATTAGAATGATGTCTGAAAAAGACTAGCAAGCAGTGTTCAAGCTGAAGGAGAAAAAAGAATTAATGATGCTCAATTAATGATGTCTCTTTTGGACACAGGAGAAGATATTATAGGTATATGACAAATATGGGCCATCTTGGTCATTTATGCCCTGGAACTTACCCGCAGCATAATGAGTTCTTAGATTTATCCTCACTAAACTAGATATGTATTTTGCTTTTTCACAGTTACTGTTTTCTAATAGACAATAGTGGTGGTACAAATAACCAATGCCTGACTTCTCAAAATCCAGTATTTTACTTGTTCTCACTGCCACAGAGAACATACACCTTCAATATAACGAGAATAAAAAAAGGATTCTTGATTTCTCTGTATGATTTGCTAGAATATCACTTCTGTCTACTGTCTCTCCCACCCTCAGCATGATCATGATCCTCTCTCACTTGTACCTGTTTTTTTTTTTTTTTTGGAGAGGTTTTTGCTATAGGGCGCGTGCGTTCACCAGACAGACAGAGAGAGAGACAGAGAGATAGAAAGCAGGAAATCACCCCCCAGGGGGGATGGCCACGCCGCAGTCCCTTCTCCTCCATTCTCCTCTCGGGATCTTGGGCACGCACGCACACGCGCCCGGCGTGAGTTTAAGCCACCGGGTCCGGGACTCGAACCGCGGTCGACTACGTGGGAGTCCAGCGACATAGCCATTACGCTAACTGCTGGTCCCACTTGTACCTGTTTTTGAAGCATATATTGAAAACACTATTTTTATTCACTAAATTTCTCATTCTCATGCTCATCTTTCTAATTGGTTCTAAAGATCAACATTCTCTCTTTGAACAACCTCTTCATTTTGATCTTATCCATATATTTCTATATCTCCTATCCTAAATTTCAACCTTGGGGCAAGGAAGGCATATTTGAGATTTCTATAAAGTCATCATAACAGCATTGTGAGCAAATAAGGAAGTTCTTATGTGTTTTTTATAGAAAAGCCATGAAGATAGCAGATGATAAAAGAACATGGATCTATTTCTTTTCCCGTTTTAAAGGACTGAGATAAAGATAAGGGACACTTGTTACTGCTACCCAAACCCATACCTTGTCCACGCTATATGTTCACAAAGTGAGAGTGACTTAACAGAGCTCTCAACTAACAGTATTCATTTACTTATTTATTTATTTTCATTCTAAGCCCTGGGAACCTACATTTCTTTCCATGGACGTTGATGGGCGTGTCATCAGAGCAGACTCTTTGTCAAAAATCCTCTCCTCTGGGTAAGGTCCTGCATCACTAAATTGAAGCTAGATCTAGAAGCATCAGAGACTGTACCTCAGTATCTTTTAGTCCAAACTATTCTTTTTATTAAGATGTTTATATTCCAGTTCCTTTAAAACACAAGTTTGATTATTAATGTAAATATAGGCCTTTTCTCTATCTCCAACAGTAAAAGATATTTGGCCATTAATCTAAAATTGAAGTGGGACTGGTCAGCTTTTTGATATCTCATATGAAACAGCATATTTGGAAATACTTGGTCAGACTTGCATTATATTTTAAATGTACACTGGATTTAAATTCGTACTTGAAATAAGTCATTTTATAAGAATGTTGTAACTGTCTAGATCCATTTGCCTTCAGATCACAAATCTCTTCTTAATGAAATCAATAAAGTGATACTACATGTATTAATTATTTATATAGGATTGATATCATGCCTTTTCTCTGTTTTTGTAGGTTGAGAGTAGGGTTTATGACTGGTCCAAAAGCCTTGATAGAGAGAATTATTTTACACATGCAAGTTTCAACATTGCACACCAGCACTTTTAGCCAGGTAAGGACAATTTAGGAAACAGTATTTTTAAAAAACAAGATCAGAATATGAACAGCTCCATGCTTCCTAGGTGGGGAGCCGGATCCCACATGTCCACTAAAGTTCAAATCCCAGTCCCAGTGGCTTGGAAGATATGCTGGACATACATGCACGCATGCCCAGATAAATGGAGGAGAAAGGAATGCACATGGCCATACCCCATTAGGGGTGCTTTCTCCCCTACTTCTCTGTCTCCATGTCTCTCTCTTGTAAGCACATGTGTTAATAGCATGGTTCTGGAGCTGGCCAGTCTGGGCGCCATGACTAGCTGTGAGACCTCAGGAAAGTTATTTTAACCTGGCACTTCCATTTCCTCATCAGTAAAACTGAAATAACTTGCCTATTAAAGTTATTAGAAGAGAAACCAAGACCCCTGCTTACCAGCCACATGGCGCGGTCAAGGCATAAGGCAGCTGTTGTGCTGTGTATGGATATGGGCTTTCCCATGAGTAATTCTTTTCCTAGTGAAGAATCTCCATTTGACCAAGCGAAGAAGGTGATGACAATGTTTCTCCAGAGACAGGTGTTCTGAGAGTAAGGGTGAGATTGCTTTAGTTCTGTTTGGTCCAGAGGCACTAATGAGGACCAGTATCAGAACATCACAGTGCACAGACACCTGATGCTACCAGATTTTGATTTGCTGCAAGACATTGAAAACAAAATCCAACCAGGTTCTCAGCAAAGTGACTTCCTGGATGTCCTGATCGTGAGAATGGATTTGATGCAACGTGAAACTGCAGGAAAGTAATTTGAGGAAAAGAGACATATTGAAATGTTTACTGACCTCAGCAGTCCATTCATCAAAGAGCACCCAGACATTACCATTCATCATGTAAAAAAATCTGAGATCCCCCTCCAGGTCTTCCTGCCTTTCCCAGTTGACAAGAAAGATGGAACTGGGGACAGAGGAGATGCCACATTGTGGTTGGACCACCATAGGCCCTCCTTTCCTCAAAAAGGACTTAGTGAGCAGCAAAAAAAAAGGTGTTCAGATGATGAAAAACCTGATGATATCTTTAGAAGGTAAAGATGGGCTGGATGAAATGTATTCCTTCAGTAAGTCTGAGACAACTGTGTAAGAAAATTCAGAGGAATTCTGTGCTCTGGCCCTGTCAGCTAACCATTGGCTCCAATTTAGCCATAAAGATTGTGGCATGTAAATCAATTCTACAAGAGAGTTACAAAGACGTGGACAATTGTGGATGCAAGAACCTTAAAAAGAGAAGACATACAAAGAGAAATCGTTTATTGCTTAAATGATGATGAAACTAAAGTTTTAAAAGAGGATACTATTCAAGGGTACCACTACAGAAGTGACAGAGTTCCCTTCTTTAAAGTAGATGAGAAGCGAATGAAATATAAATTGGAAGGGAAGTGCTTCTCTGTTTTTGGGATTTTTGTAAATCTTCTGAGGTCCCAATAAACGTCTTTATGGGATATCAAATAGTAAAGGTCTTTGCAGCAAGAGATGATGAGCCAGCAGCAGTTGTGTTTTCCTCCCTGGTTCATGCTTTGGATGAATCAGACATGGAAGCTATAGTTCAATATGCTTATCACAATAAGTCTAATCCTCAGATTGGCATGGCTTTTCCTCACATCAAGGATGCCTATGAGTGTTTAATGTATATGCAGCTCCCTTTCATGGAAGACTTGCAGCAATACATGTTTTTTTTTCTTCAGAATACCTTCCCACAGAGGCACGGTTGAGTGCAGTTGATGCTTTGATTGATTCCATGACCTTGGTAAAGAAAAACGAAAAGGAGGACACCATCAATGACTTGTTTCTAAGCACTAAAATTTCAAATACTCAATTTCAGAGATTATTTCATTGTCTCCTATACAGAGCTTTCCATCCCCAGGAGTCTCTGCCCCCAATTCCGCAGCATATTGTGACCTTGTTGGATCACTCCACTGAGGTAACAGAAAAATGTCAGGATCCTCTCTCTAAAATAAAGGCAAAGGAACAAGTAACTGCTCAGGACATTTTCCAAGACAACCATGAAGAAGGACCCACTGCTAAAAAGTGCAATACTGAGGAAGAGGAGGCCCCATTTAGTGTCTCCAACCTTGCAGAAGGCAATGTTACCAGAGTTGGAAGTATCAATTCTGCTGAAAACTTCTGTGTTCTAATGAGACAGAAGAATGCCACCCTTGAGGAAATGAGTCACCAGCTAATGATTCACATTGAACAGTTTTTAGATACTAACAAAACACTGTCTTTTATGAATACCTTGGACTGTATCAAAGCCTTCCCAGAAGAAATAATTCAGTTTTCAAAAGAGCAGTGCTGTAACAGTTTCCTGAAAGGCCTAAGCGAGAAAGTGGAAATTAGACAATTAAATCATTTCTGGGAAATCATCATTCAGGATGAAATTTCTCGGATCACCAAAGATGAAGCCTCTGGAAACTGTCATAGCAGAGGAAGCCAAAAAGTTTCTGGCCCCCAAAGAAAAACCAGATGAAAATACAGTAGTTGCATTTGAAGAAGGTGGTGATGTGGACAATTTACTGGATATTACGTAGGTCATGGATGTGTGGGAATCCGAGAGAGAGTCTATCACTGTGGTCCTGGGATGTAATGAAACTACCTGTAGGATGCTGTTGAGGGGGAATCAGAAGCCTGAACTTGTTCCCAGAAGGTTATTTGGAATGAATCATCTGATTCTCTGGAATGAATACATACATACATATTACAAGGCATGATTTAGACCCATACATATTGTGCTTTTCTGAAAAAAACAAAAGTTCATAGAAGAATAAATTCACAAAAATAATATGTTGCAGTAACACCTGGTGCATAACAAGTACTATGCAAGTACCTATTATTTTTACCATTATGGTTGGCATTATAGTTGGTTAACATTTTTTGTAAATCACTGACTGCATACACTAGGTTCAGCTTATCATATCTTCTTATGGTGGTTTAGATATCATCAAGAGTGACTTGCTTTTACAGTTGACAAAAAAAAATACCTTTTTGGGAGGACAAACCATGACATTTGTTATTACTTTCTCTCTTTTAGTTTATGATAGCACAGCTTCTGCACCAGTGGGGAGAGGAGGGCTTCCTGGCTCATGTAGACAGGTATTGAATCATTTGTTAAATGTTTATGAACAAAATAGGAGCCTAGTGGACATCATACAGAGCACCCAGACTGTTGATTTTTTATTCTTCCATCCTAAGTATTCAGAAATGAATAATCTATTAGGATTTAAAAGTGTATTCAATTTATTCGCTCTTCAACTAGTAGGTCTTCTCAGAACCATCCAGGGTATTGTTTAAAGATAGTGTTCATCCACACCTAAGATAATCTGGAATTCCCTCCAGGTTAGGATTCACTTATTTAAATGACTTAGAGGGTAAACTCTTGGGTCATCAGAAAAGCCATGATGCATTTTGCATAGAAAAATACATTGTGCTTTTTCCGATGACCCAATATTTATACACATAAATATTTTATTTAAAAACAAAGTAACTGAGGGATACATGGCACAGGAATTAGTTCAAGTATAGATGAGTGAGAACATCATCTAACTAAATAATTAGCATATTGGTGCAAGTTACAAATTACTTTATGTAAATATGGCACCTCCTAAGCAATTTAGAAATAAGGAAAAATTTACAGTCCCCAGACCAGTGATTTATTGTTTCAGTATTATTGTCTTTAGCATTCTCCTACCCTGAAAATGACAATCATTTTAGATAACTAAACACAGGCTACTTCTGCTAATTCTAGATTCCATATTTTAGATAGAAATGAACTTTGCTGATTTAATTTTTATTTTTGAACTATTCTGAAAAAAAAAAAGACGTACAAAGTTTATCACCAAGAAGTCAAACAAATATGCTTTATTCTCTTACCAAGCATTTAACATTTTAATCAAGAAAAAAAATTCCAATAGCCTGGATTTCAGAGCCTGTTTTGTTTCTTCAATCAATGTACTGAGTGTGTCCTTTTTATTGTTTTCTTTTTCTAGGGTTATTGATTTCTATAGGAACCAGAGGGATGCAATATTGGCAGCTGCAGAAAAGTGGTTAAGTGGTGAGTCTAACGGAATGTACATTCGTCATTATAAACAGTAACGCCTGTATGAGAGAGTGATGAACACCAACGTGTTATTAACAATCCCAAAGGAAAAGAAACAACAGTTTTGGAGTATTCTTGCTAAGGAAATGATATCCTGAAAATGAAGTATCCAGAAGTAACATTCTATAAACCTGGCCATGTTCTTCCTAGCTCTACTTTACCTGTCTGTGGGGAAGATTTTGTGATTTAAAAAAAAAAAAATTAGTCAAATTAGTCTAAAGACCAACCAGTGATAACTTACTTAAAGCTAACTACATAAGGACAAAACAATATATTCTAAGGCAGAGTTCTCTTTACAAATAATTTGCCTTCTAATAACTAATGTCATTTATATGTCAAATATTATCTATTAATAATTTGATTATGGGGTGTTTTAGTTTTATTTTTCTGTTATGGAAGAAAGTCAAATGAATTATTTGACTTTATTTCATTTAAAATTAGCTGTCTCTACTTAATGTATACTGACTTTCCACATTTTGTCAGAAATTGAAAGATTAGAGGATATAGAAGCATGGAAAATGGTTATGGATTCTGGAGACCATGGTGGAAGAGGGCGGGAGAAGGGGAGGAATGAGAGGAGGAAAGAAAAGGAGAAAAATGGAGAGGCAAGACATTTATGGGACACAGAAATGGATGATTATCTGTTGATGATAAGATGTATGGTATCCTCAGCTGGACTGATATAAAGTGTATTCATGTTGGGTAAATTCACTTTACAAACTGTAGTGATATTTAACGATTGAATATATAAAATAAAATAATAGGGACCACCATATGGCATAATGTTATCACTGAAGGAACTTTTTTGGAAACACTGTAATGACTGCACTTGTGTCATTTAACAATGTATTTAGTATTATCAAAAATTACTTCCTTTGGAAGACATTTATTCTCTTCCTTTGTTTTTAGGCTTGGCAGAATGGCATACTCCTACTGCTGGAATGTTTTTATGGGTTAAAATTAAGGGCATTAATGATACAAAACAACTTCTTGAAGAAAAACTCCTTAAGAAAGAGGTAAAACTCAGCCACCCCCATAACCTAGTGGTTAAGGGAGCCTTATCTGACTGAACATGGTTCGAATCCCAGCCCCAGCAACTTGAAAAACATTCAGGAAGGTCAACGGGTGGCATCGTGGTTAAGGTGGCTATATTCCATGTACCCAACTTCATGGTTTGAGCCCTGGACCTGGTGGCTTAAAAAACACACCAGTGTGTATATATCTGTGTTTCCAAACTTTCTAAAGGAGAAATGGAAAAGAGACTGTGGTGTGACAATTCCCTGTGAAGGATACTTTTCCTTTCTGTCTCTCTTTGTCTCTCTCTGGCAGGCAATGTGCCCTGTGGCAATAAAAATGAAGGAAGGAGTGAAGGAGGAAGAAAAAGAATCAAGGAAAGAAAGAAGGAAAAAGAGAGAGAGAGAGAGAAGGAAGAAGGGAGGGGAAATGGGAGAGAAAAGGAAAGAATGAAAAGGGAAAGGAAGGGGAAGGGAAGGCAGGGGAGGGGAAGGGGGAGGAGAAGAGAAGGGAAAATAAGATGCAGGGTGTATGTGTGTGCCCAAAATCTCAACAGGATGGAAAAATGGAGAAGAGGTTATGGTATGACTACACCCCATTAGGGGATACTTTCTGTCTGTCTCTGTCTATCTGTCTCTGTCTCTCTCTCTGGTGAGTGTACACACCCTTTAAGAGGGTAGGAGAGGTCTAAAGAAAAGTTATGCTTTTTTTATAGTAATTTTTTTACATTAATAAAAATGGAAAAAGATGTTCTTTGTTGCCCAGTTCCCAACTCATAATAACTAAACACAGGCTACTTCTGCTAATTCTAGATTCCATATTTTAGATAGAAATGAACTTTGCTGATTTAATTTTTATTTTTGAACTATTCTGAAAAAAAAAAAGACGTACAAAGTTTATCACCAAGAAGTCAAACAAATATGCTTTATTCTCTTACCAAGCATTTAACATTTTAATCAAGAAAAACAATTCCAATAGCCTGGATTTCAGAGCCTGTTTTGTTTCTTCAATCAATGTACTGAGTGTGTCCTTTTTATTGTTTTCTTTTTCTAGGGTTATTGATTTCTATAGGAACCAGAGGGATGCAATATTGGCAGCGCAGAAAAGTGGTTAAGTGGTGAGTCTAACGGAATGTACATTCGTCATTATAAACAGTAACGCCTGTATGAGAGAGTGATGAACACCAACGTGTTATTAACAATCCCAAAGGAAAAGAAACAACAGTTTTGGAGTATTCTTGCTAAGGAAATGATATCCTGAAAATGAAGTATCCAGAAGTAACATTCTATAAACCTGGCCATGTTCTTCCTAGCTCTACTTTACCTGTCTGTGGGGAAGATTTTGTGATTTAAAAAAAAAAAAATTAGTCAAATTAGTCTAAAGACCAACCAGTGATAACTTACTTAAAGCTAACTACATAAGGACAAAACAATATATTCTAAGGCAGAGTTCTCTTTACAAATAATTTGCCTTCTAATAACTAATGTCATTTATATGTCAAATATTATCTATTAATAATTTGATTATGGGGTGTTTTAGTTTTATTTTTCTGTTATGGAAGAAAGTCAAATGAATTATTTGACTTTATTTCATTTAAAATTAGCTGTCTCTACTTAATGTATACTGACTTTCCACATTTTGTCAGAAATTGAAAGATTAGAGGATATAGAAGCATGGAAAATGGTTATGGATTCTGGAGACCATGGTGGAAGAGGGCGGGAGAAGGGGAGGAATGAGAGGAGGAAAGAAAAGGAGAAAAATGGAGAGGCAAGACATTTATGGGACACAGAAATGGATGATTATCTGTTGATGATAAGATGTATGGTATCCTCAGCTGGACTGATATAAAGTGTATTCATGTTGGGTAAATTCACTTTACAAACTGTAGTGATATTTAACGATTGAATATATAAAATAAAATAATAGGGACCACCATATGGCATAATGTTATCACTGAAGGAACTTTTTTGGAAACACTGTAATGACTGCACTTGTGTCATTTAACAATGTATTTAGTATTATCAAAAATTACTTCCTTTGGAAGACATTTATTCTCTTCCTTTGTTTTTAGGCTTGGCAGAATGGCATACTCCTACTGCTGGAATGTTTTTATGGGTTAAAATTAAGGGCATTAATGATACAAAACAACTTCTTGAAGAAAAACTCCTTAAGAAAGAGGTAAAACTCAGCCACCCCCATAACCTAGTGGTTAAGGGAGCCTTATCTGACTGAACATGGTTCGAATCCCAGCCCCAGCAACTTGAAAAACATTCAGGAAGGTCAACGGGTGGCATCGTGGTTAAGGTGGCTATATTCCATGTACCCAACTTCATGGTTTGAGCCCTGGACCTGGTGGCTTAAAAAACACACCAGTGTGTATATATCTGTGTTTCCAAACTTTCTAAAGGAGAAATGGAAAAGAGACTGTGGTGTGACAATTCCCTGTGAAGGATACTTTTCCTTTCTGTCTCTCTTTGTCTCTCTCTGGCAGGCAATGTGCCCTGTGGCAATAAAAATGAAGGAAGGAGTGAAGGAGGAAGAAAAAGAATCAAGGAAAGAAAGAAGGAAAAAGAGAGAGAGAGAGAGAAGGAAGAAGGGAGGGGAAATGGGAGAGAAAAGGAAAGAATGAAAAGGGAAAGGAAGGGGAAGGGAAGGCAGGGGAGGGGAAGGGGGAGGAGAAGAGAAGGGAAAATAAGATGCAGGGTGTATGTGTGTGCCCAAAATCTCAACAGGATGGAAAAATGGAGAAGAGGTTATGGTATGACTACACCCCATTAGGGGATACTTTCTGTCTGTCTCTGTCTATCTGTCTCTGTCTCTCTCTCTGGTGAGTGTACACACCCTTTAAGAGGGTAGGAGAGGTCTAAAGAAAAGTTATGCTTTTTTTATAGTAATTTTTTTACATTAATAAAAATGGAAAAAGATGTTCTTTGTTGCCCAGTTCCCAACTCATAATGTTCTAATATTAGATATGCCATTATATGAGATATCTCATTAAAATCTTAATAGGTTTGGAACTTATGTAATTATTTAACTGGTCTAAATTAATAGCAATTTCACCATTCATCTCAGTCACTGATTAGAGCTGCTAAGAGCAGTATCTGGAGCCAATCTCCATGGGTTTGACTCCCAACTCCACCCCTTACTAGATGTGTGGCTTGGGTAAATTAATCTCCCTGTGCTCTATCTGGAAATAGAGATAACAGAAATCCCTCCTTCACAGTGCCACTGCAATGATTAAATGAATTAATATGTATAAAGCATGTACACTAATACTTGGCACATAGTAAATGCTCAGTAAGTATTAGATATTAGGATTTAAAGTAGAGGGATTCGTTTTTTCCTGATGATGAAATTTAAGTATATTCATAATAGGAAATTTGCAAACTGCAGAAAAGCATAATAAAAATATTTTAAATAGCCTATAATTCCACCACCCAGATTTTGTGACCATTTCTGATGTATTTGTTTGAAGAGTTTACATATAATCTAGTATTTTGACTGTGTAGTTATTTTGCATGGGTAAAATTACACCAAAAATTTGCATTGTGATTTCTATACTTAAAATTAGCTCATGGTAATATCTTCTAGGTTTTTTTCTTGTTGTTATTTTGAGAGAATTTTGCTATAGGGTGCATGCACTTGCCGGAGAGACAGAGAGATTGAAAGCGAGAAATCTCCCACCTGGAGGATGATCACGCCACAATCCCTTCTCCTCCATTCTCTGGGGATTTTGAGCACACACGCACATGTGCCCAGTGTGAGTTTAAGCCACCAGGTCCAGGACTTGAACCACGGTCAACTGTGGGAGTCCAGCAGTGTAACAATTACACAATCTTCTGATCCCAGTTTTTTTGTTTGTTTGTTTGTTTGGGGTTTTTTTGCTTAAATCTTAAGTTTACTTAGATTTTGTTTGGAAGTATTGATTAAGCTGAGAATTCTAAATATTTTTCTGTGTACTTTTTCAATTTGCCAAACAAATTATCCCTTCTCCATTATTTCATTCCTTTATCATATTTGTCAGTCTTTTGTAAACATTGAGCCCTATTATAAAAGCACTTTCTGTTTTGAAGCAGTAAGTACAAAAGAACACTCTAGGTCAGCAGTGGCAAAGTCTCAGCTAGTACAGAGACAATGTACTCCAGAAGTTAGATCTAGGGACAGACTATCTGGACTTCAGTCCTAGCTTCATTACCTTGGGAAAAAGTCATCCTCTCTAACTAACCATCTTCCTCGAGGGTAAGACAGGCTTTCTTAATTGTCCTAATCCTCATAAGTAGCATATAGTAGGTACTTAATAAATATTTAACTGACTTAAGAGTGCCACAAAATGGGAAAGAACATGGTGGAGCATAAGAGAATGTTTTATCTCCTCTCTAAAATACTCTTCCCAACTTTCTGTCTGGTCAACACTTACTTACTTTTCAGGTTTTAATTAAAAAGTCACTTTCAGGACAAGCAGTTGGCATGATGGCTATGTCACTGGACTCCCATGTAGTTGAACGCAATTCGAGTCCTGGACCCAGTGGCTTAAACTCACACCAGGCACGTGCACATGCATGCCCGAGATCCCGAGAGTAGAATGGAGGAGAAGGGATTGTGGCGTGGCCATCCCCCCCCCCCCGGGGGGGATTTCTC